GACAGTTGTCTCAAGTTGAACTGTCTTACGAACAACCCATCTTCCACCATGTAAAAATGAAGTATAAACAAGCTCTTAGCGCGTCCTAGGGGTGCGGAGTTCAAAGGAAGCTTCTCCCAGAAGCACAGAAAAGAAAAACAGGTGTTAAGCTGTCTGCTAAACTACACTCAATTTCAGGTTGGCATGATCGGAATTCTTTTGAATGTCGCAGCCGTTAAGCTAATCTATCGCACACCCTCCTTCCATAATGCATTTGGCTACATTTGTGCATCGCATTTGGTCGCTGATGTTGGCGTACTCACGATTTTCACTTTTTGGGCTGCTCCAGCAACTCTACTGTAAGTCTGGGAAGTTTACCACAACTGTTTATCGTGTAAATTTTACGGCTCGCAATGATGAAGGCCACAATTCAAGAATAGAACGACTATGACGACTCCGGTGGCCTGTGCTCCTCCTGCCACCATAACAGTGAATCTTTTCTTTAATCTGGTTCAGGCTTAGGGGAGCACGGACGATCTGAGTCGCCGCGGGCCACTGCCAAACGTGGTCCCTCAAACCACGTCAGTGCTTAAAATCCCACATTTCTTATGGGGTACCGCCTTCGCTCACATATAACTCTCGACCCATTTCAGTGGTTTATCTGGAGCGATAACTCATTCTTATTTCGGAGAGAAAATGGGCCAACTCACCGTGATATTCTGGTTTGGCTCTGTCTATGGACAATTACAGATGGCTCTCAATCGACTTTTGGCTATCTGTTCCCCATTCATGTACAAGTACGTCAGTTGTCCATTGAATACTGGCTAAAGGCTATAAGTAGGAGCTCAATTCACATACTGTCTTCTTCAAATGGAATAACCTTACTGCTAAGAGGCGTTAGTTCTCAAATGCACGTAAAACCCTCCATTTTGCTGTATTTCAAGCGTAGGCTTGTAGATGGGGATTGAAATCGCTGCATTCATTGTCGGACGATTTTTTGTGGCATGTACTCAAAAACAAATACCTATCCAAGGCATACAAGTTCAGAACTGGAATATTTTGATTTTCCCCTTGTACGATATTTGCGTTAATTTCACGGAATTTTCAGTCGCAAGCTAGTGTTTCAATAAATTAATGCCTAGTGGACTGTCTCCGGATACTACTCTTCCACAAAAAGCAATTTTGTCGGCAAGATTTTCGTAGTTTAGTTTCACGTTCTCAATACGACGGACCAAGCAAATACTGGCCGCGTTCTGGATACTCTGCATCGCTCATGGCACCATCTACTTTATAGGTATAGTTCGATTCTTCCTCAGTACAGTTATCAAAAACCCTTAGCGTCTCGAGAAAATTGCGGTGATTCATCCTTGGTTTGCACTCTGAGTTATTTCTGTGTGGGGAAAATTGATAGTTATCTTTCCTCGTTTACACTCTGTTAGTACAGAACGGTAACGCAAGAAAAGCGCTCGATTGCTTAGTCACAAAAAGCTTTCATTGCCTCGACTTCATAGCTAGGAACCTAGCAAAAACACACAGACGGAGGGCTAAGAGTCCCCCATATCAATTCGTAAATGGTAATCACGGAGGATCAGGTGGCGTCTCGTCTCTCAGAATGAATCTGAAAGCGCCCCTTCCCTAGGCGACCAAGGGTTCTACTCTCTGGGGACAATAAATTGGTGCCAAATTGCGCGAGGATAAGAACTCCATCTTATACATTGACCGGCTCCCGCAAGACCACACTACATTAAATGAGCCACTTTTCATCAGAATTGGAGTAGAAAGCGCTCATCATCCCGGTAAGGGACTCATCAGCTGCGGAATATCTTTTCAGTATACTTACAAAACAAGAAAACAGTAGATAAAGCAGTCTGGGACGTCTCGAGTAAAACATCAGTACTGACAGAACTTTCCAAGAAAGGAGACACTGCTACGCAGATGAGAGGTCCGAAACTTGTATTGAAAACTGTGAGCAAGCGACTGACTGAGTGACTATAGAAGTTGAGCTTGTACTCTGGAGCTTACGATGGGAACTAAGCCTCACTCTTCATTTCAAGCTTTGGTAGTACAGTATCTTGCGTTTTGGTAGCTTTTGTAGCTGAAAGAAATACCTCTTGATACGACCTTCTTTCAGCGGGGTGTAACTTCCTATACGACGCGGAATCGTTCCTTTGGACATACTCCTCTACCTCATGCAGCCGCTTTGTCTCATTTTACATTGCCTTCGCATATTGTGCAGTTCTGTGCGCTACAGTTATTGTAATTGATACGGTTGCTTTTTTGGTTATTCTGAGGAACCTAAAGGTAAGTGAGTTGAGATTCTCCTACCCCTGTTCAGTCTAAACTACCTTGCAATTATTAGGTTGTCCGGAAAGTTCTCAGCGTTTTGTGCACCTATTTTTGTACATTCACTGCTGATTAAAAACTCATTCTGCCTTGCTTCTCAGTAGCACATCCTGTAGAGAATTTCTTGCGCTATCTGATGGTATAATTGCCGTTTCACCATTGCTTGATAAACCCCTTTTTTCAAGATTTTTTCAAGCATGTGAAAAGAGCACTTCGGACGATTTTTTCTTCGACTATAAATTGGGGCAATCCGCAATCGAAACAGCTCAACAAATTAACCAGGTGTGGGGGCCCAATAGTGCTAGAGAAAGCACTGTGCGGCAATGGCTCAACAAATTTCGTTCTGGAGATTTCAGCCTTGAAGATGAACCTCATAGCGGTCGACCTAAAGCAATATCTGACGAGGATTTTGGGGATTTTGGAGGCTGACCCATCCCAAACAGTTCGAGAGATAGCAGAAGAGCTAGGCCTTGGCAAATCCACTGTTGCAGATGGTCTGGAACGCATTGGGAAGGTGAAAAAACTCGACAATTGGGTGCCCCACAATCGGAGTGACCGGCAGGAATCGGCACGTCTCGAGGTTTCTTCTTCACTGCTTTTGCACAACAGAAACGACCCGCTTTTGGACCGAATTGTCACCTGTGATGAAAAATGGGTCATGTATGATAACAGGAGACGTTCCGGACAGTGGTTGGATTTCGACGAACCACCGAGGTAATTTTCAAAGCCGAACCCTCACGAAAAAAAGATTCTGGTCACGGCTTGGTGGTCATCGGCTGGTGTGATCCACTATAACTTTTTATCACCAGGCCAAACCATCACAGCAGAGTCCTACTGTGAAGAAATCGACGAATTGTACCGAAAATTTTGTCAGATGCAGCCAACACTTATCAAAAGAAAGGGTCCGATTCCTTTGCATGACAACGCCCGCCCACACGTTTCACAAATCACTATCCATAAATTGAACGAATTGGGGGTTGAAGTTCTACCTCAACCGCCATATTCTTCAGACCTTTCGCCAACCGACTATCACCTTTTCTAACATTTTCAGAACTCCCTTGCTGGAAAATACTTCATCAATCAGGACCAGGCAAAAAAGCCTTAGTGGATTTCGTGAATTTTCGACCACCCAGTTTTTACTTTGATGGGATTTCTCGACTGCTGTCACATTGGCAAAAGTGTGCTGATTCGAATGGTGCCTATTTCGATTAAATCCGATGAGTATAAAAAAGTTACGATCGTTTAAAGTGAAACACCCAAAACGCTGAGAACTTTCCGGACAACCTAATATATACTACTCTCCCGCAAAGTCTTATCGGTTTCAGAAATTGTTCAAGTCGTCTCATGGAGGGCAGGACGTCACAAGGTTCAGACAAAACATCAAGCTGTATATTCAGGTATCTTCATCTCTATGAAATTTATCTATATATATAAATGGGAGTCATTGGATGGTCGCGCCCACTTCACAACTCTGTTTCAACAGTTTTCAACTGAGGGTCAAATGTATGTACCTCAGGTATTAGCGAGTACGTTACATCTCCCAACGTTTGCCTCTGGCATGACCTCGCGCCACTGGCACTTGAATGCTGGCACCTAAATCCTTCCGCTAGATCTTGCTCCTTGGCTCCAAACGCAAGCATACGGGAGCACGATAATGATTGGGACTTGCTGTACTGATATGATGTAAGCGAACCCTATTGAATTTTTATGTTCTACATGGGTTGCTGGTGAGAGGTCAGCAGTCAGCTCGGGAAGCAAGTAAAGTCATGCCAAACGTTAGAAGATACAGCGGAGCCCAACCCTACTCTGCAGTACTCCTGCAGTTTTCTTACCGTATACCGCTCTCGCTAAATCATGGCACCCAGGCTAACTGCCCAGAGTTCGCCCGTTAAATCTAAACCGGCAAGAACTTTTAACGGCTTATTTAACTTATGGAGCCTGAGGGAAGCTCAGGTGTACAATGAGCATCCCGGAATAGAGAGCATGGTGGATCGCAAATGTGGAGGCAGCTTGAAAAATTTCCAGGGATGTCACAATTGTTCCTAATTAGAAGCAAAGAAAAACAAACATTGGGAAAGGAATACACTCCAGAGCACAGATGATCCGTTTCGCTCGGTATCGCAGACGAATCATCATTGTCTAGCCAACCCCCGAGCTCATCAGTGCGACAGGTTGACGACATGAGGACATGGACTACATAGGGGAAGGTGTTGAGAAATAGGATAAAACGAGAGAGAATGTAAAAGTTAAAGGGGTTTACATGCAAAGTTCATGCTATCAAGATAAATGCGTGTAGGAGGAAGGAAAATTGGATTGTTAATAGGTTAAACCTACTGAGAGATGTTGAGTATCAAACAATGTCCAAGCGGATTACAAAAATCAAATCAATTAAAAGTGTAGTGGAAGGAGGAGAATTAGTGTTGAGCACCGCTGCAAATGAGAATACCTGTCACTAGTCTATTTATCTTTCTATAGTTATTTGCGATTGAGAATTTGTAACTTATAAATTTATTTTTGTAAATTAAGATCTGCCAGTAGTGGACTGAAATTGCCACCTTGTGGGACACCTTTAGTCTGCTTGAACGTATTGTTAGCAAAAAGACAAAAGCTGTTACGTAAAAGATAGTCAATAAAGTAAACTAAATCGCTGGATTTGTAATATCTGTAGTTGTTCTTAAATTCTTTACCATCTGTATAGAAAACATGGTAACCATTAGTGGCATGTCTTGATGGTCTGTTGCGATTCTGTATTACTTTGGCGTAGTTAATAAAGTGATTTTTGAGATGTGTGAAGACTATGCGTAATTCCTGGGCCAAAGGCTTAACACTACTGCTATGTGCACCTGTGATGTATCTGAATTTAACTGGATTCTTATGTAGCTTTGGTAAGGCATATATAGTAGGTATTTCTGCATCAATGGATATATTGATATTATTCTTTACACAAAGGAATTTGTGCTTCAATATTAAAGATACCAGTTTGGCTGACGCGCATTACTGCGCGAATTGTTAAACCTATGGTACTGAACAATGGCAGAATTTCTGTGGTGGCCCCTAAAACTTCGCCTTTTTCCCATGCTTCAAAACACGGCCCATTTCATCATAATTCTCCTCTTTAATGAACATTTGCCAACGTATGGTGCTTATCACAACACTCACCATTCGTTGGAAATGAGGCAACTAGCGGTTGAAAGAGTTTCAATGGTAACAATATCGAAATCATAGTGAAGTGTTCTAACATCCTAATTCTTCCGTGAGCAGCTTTCACATATCGGTCTATTGGCGACTCTTATCATTCCTCACTGGCAAACAATTTTAGGCTTTTACTTCTGGGTGGTACTCGAGAGTTTAGCGGTCGGATCAACTCCGACTACATCCTAAGGGATAGGAACATCTCTGCTCACTAAGGTTTAGCCCATTAATTCTTGGACCACGGTGGTCAAGTTCAGTCGCAGGCATAGCAAAGATGCAGCTCCCCGTTGTTGCTCCGACTCTTGCATTGAATTTTGAGGCCTTCCTGAAGCGGGCCCCCTATGGTACTTTATCGGCTGTTATCAGGTCCTGCTACCCACCAATAATGTTCCTATCCTGCCCCATATATTACTTCTTGAAAACAACGTTCTACCGTCGCTGTGACGCGCACTATGGTGTTAGTGACCATTCCTTTCTAAGGCTCCTTATGGTATCTTATCAGCTGTTATCACTTCCTGCCACCCACCAAAATGTCCCCATCCTGCCCTCTATCTTACTTCTTGGAACCAACGCTCTACCGCTGCTGTGACGCGCGTTGTGAATTTGGTGACCCTTACCTTCTAAGGCTCCTTATGGTATCTTATCAACTGTTATCACTCCCTGCCACCGACCAATAATGTTCGTGCACGACCCCCTACATCACTTATCAGTTTGAGGGCTCTATCGCTCTTTTGAAGGAAGTTATGAATTTCCGGTCAAACACACATACAGACACACAAACATACATTCACACACACACACACACACCAACAGACAAACTTAGCGGATTATATATAGTAGGATACTTGTTTGTATGAGGCATTAATTCATATGTGTTATTACTGTTTCCATAGACAAATGTGTGGTTGGCAGCATCATAAGAAATGCCCATTTCATGCATTATGTTCAAAAGGTAGAACTTCTTGCAGATGATGCCATAGTTATTATTTGCTTTGTCAAGAGGACAGAACACGTATTTTTCTTGATATTGTTTGATTAAGTTGTAAGGTATGTGTTCTCCTATATTTTCAATATTAGCCTTTGTCAGTAGAGGTTTTACTTTGTCATGGTAACATGAACGAAAATGTTTCTGTAATAGATTAACCTTGTGATTGCTAGTCTCTGTAAGAAGTCTGCAGACATGGAGAGTTCAATTAGTTTCTTAATTTCTTCTTTACGCAGACTCTTGAGCATTCTGTAGTACTGAATAGGTTTGAGTGTTTCACTATTACTTGTTATCTCTGCTATAATATTATCGTATGTGTTTACTTTATTCTTTTTACTGTTTCTTTTTCCTCTATTTATCCTTTGTTTTGTAATTTTAAGAGAGAAGAAGGGATGATTGCCCTTGTACATGAGAGGATTATCTATATTTGTAATGTTTCCATATCCCTTTATGTTATCGTTCAACCCAAAGGGATATGCTGTCATCAGAAGTTTGATCCAAAAAAGTTCCTTTTCTATTAATGTGGTTTTATCATTAGACTTCATACAGTCTAGTACTTGTACCGTTATACCTCTATCACATTTGTAGAAGTGATTATATAACGGTGTGTGTACTTTATGTGAAAATATATTAGAAAGATGTTCTCCAATTCTTTCTTTAATTTTCTTACTGTCATTCCAACATATTGTATCCCACAGCCATTGCATGTTAAACAGTAAACTACATTTTTAGCGTTACAATCTGCATCTGCTTCTTTATATGTGTTAATATATAGATTTGTAACGTTTGATACAATGTAATTATCTGTATTAGTTATATCAATTGCAGTTTGTCGACGGGGGGGGGGGGGGCATTTTGCTTTCCATAGATGTGTCGACCCATCTAGGCAGCCGTTTCTCGAGTTGACACGTTTTAGGATAGTGGCTAGACGATCACTTCAGCTTCACAAGAGTTCACAAGTTTTACCAGAGTGAGATTTGTAAACCGGATTTAGGGAAGCAATGATAATACGAAATGCCCCCCTGTCGACAAACAGCGTCGTTATATCACATGTTCTGCACTTTCTTTTACATTTCCAACCTTTGTTATCGTCAAAGTCGGTGAGTTTGTAGTGATTAGCCTCACCCCTTACTTTGTGGGAGTAATTGCGGGTAGTGGAGTAGTAATTTGTAGCGCTGATTTTCGCATTTTTAACATGAGATCTAAGCGCATGAGCGGTTAAACCCATACGCAGAGAGGAGACTTCCCGAAGGTTCGGCAGGGCTGCTGCCCAGGGGGTGGCTCTCCCTGCAGAACTACCAGCGCTGAAGGCGCCAAAAACTGTCCCCTTTGTAAAACAATCTGAGCAAGTGTGAAATAAGACCTTGCTGCTGTGCTCACTGTGTTCATGAAGGTGATGGTCAGTCAGTCGAAGTGGATGCAAGAGGGATGAAATGAGCCCATCTGCGGCTTTTTCACTACTGATTGTTTTTATTTTGTATTGATCTCAACCAACCACTTTTGGTCAAGGAAGGCAGCCGAGGGCGAGGCGGGCTCATTGCATCCCTACGGCTGATTGTGACGATATCAGGTATGGATCTCTCACTGTCTGTCGTGTGGTGGAGAGAATTTCTGTGAAGATTCACCCTAGTGTTTGCTGGATCCCTTCCAGGTGCCCTTTTGTGGCGCAGTAAAGGGCGAGAACATTTTTGCGGTCAAGGTGAGATACAGCTCACAGTTTTCAAAGCGGCACTTCGCTGATGTATTGATAATATGCTCAAAAGCGAACTTTCGTGGCTTCACAAAACTTTACAAAAGCTTCACAGAACTCCTCCCCCTCAGGCCAACCATGTTTGAATTTTTTCGCATTTCGGATTACGAACGATTTTTCGCACTTATAGTAGTATTTCAGGGCTGCTTGCAAGCTGGGTGTTTCGCAGCAGTGACTGCGTCTTTCTACTTTTTCTTCGCGATGGCCACAACAAAATGGGTCAATGTTTGTCACAACAACTTTAGCTTGGGAATTGTCGCACGCTGTAGATGGGTATGTTCGGAAATGAGTGATACCTGTTGAAAAAACAACTTGCCAAATTATTTGTATTCCATTTAGGCTCATCTTAATTGTTTTCCACGATAGATTCCGTGTGCTACTGCGACAGCTATCGTTACTCTGGCAAAATATATGTTCACCAAGTTCAGTCGTCACCGCTTCTGTTTCGAGGTAATGTCGTCATGAAGCTTTTCCATTAGTTCTTTGCTCGAGAAAACAAACTAAAACCACAATGTGCGGCACTATTTATTCAAGCTTTCGGGTACTGTGAAGTGTGCAAAGGGAAACTTTCATAGGTAGTGCCCTTGAGCGAAATGGAAGAGGGAGGGGCTAACCTGTTCTGCATTGACGCGTCCTGTTCTCAGTCGTTGGGTTTTAGTCGGTCCCATTCAAGATCACGATTGGCTCCCAGATGAGTTCTTTTCCAAATGTTGGAAAAATGTAACGTGGGCATTAGGACTTAATGCTGACCTTGTTTTGGGCTCTAAAAGCTTGGCAGCGATTATTTCGTACATAACACGCGGGCCTAAGTCATTGGCGCGATGGTGGGTAGTTGTATTTTTGGTCTCTGTTTGGGTGTGGTAGAAAGCAGATTGTTATTTTTGTTGATGCCAAAGACTCCGAATACTCGAGCTGCTGCGAATCCTCAGCAGGGAGTGATAGGGGTAGGAAGGAGGTAATATTCAGCAAAACGTTTTCCACATGAAGATGTCATAATGTTGTTTGAACAGATGGGCCTAATGGTCTACACTTCCACAAGTCCGCGCTCATGAAGCGGTATTTCGAGCGGAGTAAATCATTACAATTAAAATGAAAAATCACGGTTGAAAGAGCGGTTTCTTCTATCAACAGCCAAGTACGGCCTTGTTGTGGTATTCACAGCAATGACTTTATCTCCTTGAGGGACTACAGGGGTAATGATTTGGCTAGACCGTCGAGTTACCAGACTCCCCTGGTTTGAAAGGGCTTCAGTTGAATTCAGTTTCAGATATGCTGGAAAAATGTGGCGCACGCAGTATACCTTGATTTTGACGTCATTTAGGTCTTCACAGGCTTGGAAGTGATGATTTTGTCTCATGGTTCCCTTATCTTTTCCAAATGGCAACGACAAACCAAGTAACATCCGATGCTGAAAAGCCGTGAATAGTGTGAATATGATTTCTTCACTCAATGAGTCCGTGTGATTTTCTCTTTCATTTGTCGATGTGATTTCCTCACTCTGCTAATCCATTGGACATTACAATTCACAAAAATGATTGAACCGCGGGGAAACATCTTGATCTCAGCTGTCAAGACTTGCACACTTGCCCTGCTCACCGGTCGCGGTTAATATTCAGCTAGAAGGGCTTATATCTTTACATTGTCTTTTACACTATCATCACTTGTAAGTGTTAACTTCTTCGGCCTTACGAGCTCTTCTGCCTTAGGAGATCGAAACTAACATGCTGAGGTTGCAATAAAAGAGAAGCTGGAGAACTATCATCACTGCTCTTCATCGTGCCTTATTGCGAACTGTGGCGATAAGTAGTAGTAATCATAGTAATGCAAGTTGAACCCATTTCTACTGCAAAAAAAATTGAGTTGAAAGAAAATTGAAGGAAGCAAAGGCAAAATCTCTTCTCTGATGTTCTGTTACCTCATCGAATTCCCGCTGCTCGAAAAGATAAAGGCATCGAGGTCTAGAATAGCAAGGCCGAGATAGATCTTTCTCATTTCACGGCGAAACTCTTCAAACTCCACTTATTTTACATTCAGGGCGGAACTTGCGCTACTCCTCGAAAACGGCTCCAAATTGCGAATCAGTACGCTTACAGAACTATGTAAAAATACACTTGTTTATGAAAATAAGATAGATAGACATAGGAGAGCACATTTATTATTATAAAAATGAATAATCCTGCCAGACAAGCAACTAGTTCACAGAATGGCTGTTTCACTAAAAAAATAAAGCTCTAGGTGGAACTTTGGAAAAAGTAACAAAAAAAGAAGAGCGAAGTGCAATGTACGTCAATAATTCAGCTTCGAAGCATTCAACTGTAGTCTACATGTTCGCCTTTGTTCGCACCTAGACATTTGCGTTTATGTTTACAATATCTTCATTATTATGAAGAACAGGCTTGTGTAGTGTTATTCTCTATTATACCTGAAGTCTTGACAATATCGTCATTTTCAAATGCCTGAAAGCACATCAGAACTCGTGAAATAGTATTTATCCTCTAAACACAGACCTTTCGACAGGTCATTACCG